ATAATATACATATACATATATACATGTATATTATTATTATAATATACACATATACATATTAATATTATAATAATAGCATACGTGTATATATGTATATGTATATTATATATATTATATATGTATATATGTGTATGTATATATATACATATATGATATATTTATGTGTATATACATGTATATATGTACATTATAGTATATGTGTAAGTAAGTTTAATAATAATAATATATGTTATTAATTTTACAATATAATATATGCATTTTATACATTGGTGAGAATTGGGCCCGGTATTAGCAATCCCATCTAAGACTAGGATTAGATAAAACAAACATGGTACTAAATTTAGTCCAAGCCAGTCCAAGCCAATCCTGTGTACCAAACGAGCCCTTAGAGAGTATAATTGCGCGGTTATACTTTTAAATATAATAATATTTAAAGAGTATAAACGCTTAATAAAATATTTAAATATTAAAAATTAACTAAAGAAATAATAATCAAAATATAATTACTAATTAAAATAATCAAAAAAGGCTATAAGTAAAAATCATTTTGTGCAGTATAGCCGTGGGTAATACATCTAAAAAGTATATCCGCCCAACTATACTCTTTAAATATTATTATATTTTAAAAGTATCCTAGCTTGTCTAACGAAACGAGTAAAATATAGGAGCTCTATATCAGGTATTGGACAATCCAATAACCAAATATAAGTGGTTCGGGTCATTAATCTTGGCTATAAAGATGATAAAAAAATTGTCAACATGGTCTAGTCCAATGGAAAAAGATCTCGACTTGCAGTCAGTATGATCTCAGATTCAAACTCCTATTACACCTTGGTAGTGTGTGTGTGTGAGTTAGTAAAACCCCATTCCTTTGTATTTTAGACTATCACTTGTATAAAAAAAAAAAAAGATAATTAAAAGAAGAACTAAAAATTTAGTATGAAATACAAATTTAAACTGACCAACTCTCAAACCGATCAAATCGGATCTAAACTGATCTTGTTTGGTTCATTGCGGTCGAAAAAAATCCTTATAAAACATGTTCATTTTGATTAAATGTAAAGTAAGATTTTTTGTTCTAAATTACCTGATGAGTCTAACTCGCTTGCGCTCAACTGTAAGATTTTAAATGGATCAAAACCAGATACTTGCCCTATCAAAAAAGAAACCGATATAGAGAGTGACATTTGGGCCAGTCGGCAGTGAGTTGCTTGAGCAAATTGAAGTCCGTCTTGTCTGATCCGCAATGAAAGGCCACATGGCGGGAGACCACGCGGGCCCAGGGGTAGTATCGCCAATTTCAGAAATAAAGTCGGTTACGTTGACAAAATCCTAAGCAAGCCTCATAACATAAGCTTATGACCCCAAAAAAAAAAAAAAAAAGTAAGCCTCATAAGCGTAAATTCCCCTTGCTGCCCCTGCCCTGTTCCTCGCGCTCAAACTGACACAGCTGCTTTTGTTTTTTGTTTTGGTCATAAACTGACACAGCTGCTTTCTTTCGTTAAAGTTGGAGACTTGGAGATTGTAATGTCATCTTTGCACTACAAATATATAATTTGCAGTTTGCCCAGTTGAGGTTGAGTGGTTTTGATTGAAGATATGATAGTGTGGGCACTTTTAACGTCAGTAGGAATCAATCTTGGGCTTTGTCTCCTCTTCTTCACTCTATATTCGATATTGAAGAAGCAACCCAGTAATCTTGAAGTCTATGCACCACGCTTGGTTGCTGCTAAAGAAGAATCAGGGCAGAGAAATGGGTTCAATTTCGAGAGGCTGTTACCAACTGCAGGTTGGGTGAAAAGGGCATGGCAGCCCTCTGAAGATGAGTTTATGTCGGCCACCAGCTTCGATGCTGTGGTCTTCATTCGCATTTTTATCTTCAGGTTACTTAATAAACTAGAACTGCAGGGTATGTTCAGATTGGTTTTGCTTTTTTGAGGGCATATTTGAGTTTTTGTTGTTTGTTTTTATGCAGTATGAGAGTATTTGGCTTTGCTGGGATTGTTGGGGTTGTCATTCTTCTTCCAATAAATTATCTGGGGAGTCAGCTAGATGCGGATTCTTCGGATTTGGCCAACAAGTCTTTGGACTCCTTCAGTATTTCAAATGTCAATGATGGCTCAAAATGGTAATTGTCTGGTTTGGAGTGTCATTTGTAGGTGCTGTTGATTGAAACTTGTGGGAAAGATTGTTAACAAAAGAATTAACTTGACATGAAATTGCAGTCTTAAACACTGCCTGGTATTATTCTTTGAGCCATTGTTGCATTTGCTACAATGGGTTGAGTGTCTTGTATAGCCCTGCATCATATTTCCACACATTGTTCCCCAATGCAGTAATCCTTTTTAGTGGCTTTCAATTCTATGCAGTATATGTCCTTTATAAGTTAGTGCATCAATCAATGAAACGTTAAAAGCCTAGGATTCCTTCTTTTGCTCACACATTCAAAGCCTTAGAAAGGAGGTGAAGCCGTATGAGCTTAGGTTGAGATTTGGCTATAGGTCTCTGGTGTATCTTCTAATTCCTGTGGCAGATTTTTTGTATTTTGTTTTTCATTTCCATTTTATTTTTGTCGGACTCTGGCAGATTATATAAGCTAACTTTGATGGGAAATATTGGTCCTAGATACCGGCAACTGAGTTGGACTTTTCTCGTACTTTTTGTGCTTGCACATTCATAGACTAGGAGGTGAGAGTGAAGTTGTTCAAGCTCATTCCAAGATTTAGACTTAGGTGAGAGTGAATATCCTTCTCACATATTATTCAAACTAACTTCAACATAAACCTTTTATGTGGAGTACTTCTCTTTGTTGTTGCTAGATAATATTCAGTTACATTTGAATTTATTATATTTAAAGTAGGCATATTAAATTATTTTGAAGACCACCTGATTATTAGCTTTGGTCTCCCAAGGTTATGGGTTCACTTTTGTGCAGTATACATTTTCAGTGGAGTTGTCTGCTATCTTCTTTATTATGTAAGTCAGATTTTGTTTCTTTTTTATGGTTTATTCCATCGTTTTCTGGTTCATTTATAAGGAAGAATCAACACTGATTTCAGCTTGACGACTATAACTGCAGGAGTATAGCTATATCTCATCAAAAAGAATTGCTCACTACTATTCATCCAAACCTCAGCCTCATCAGTTTACAATATTAGTTCGTGGTATTCCTGTCTCATCTGGGAGCAGCTGCAGTGAAACTGTTGAGAAATTTTTTACAGAGTATTATCCTTCTACTTATCTTTCACATTCAGTGGTTCGCCGAACCAACAAACTTCAACATCTCACTGTAAGCACTCTATGTGAATAATTGATTCAATCTTTTGTCCCCACTCCCCACATGGGTCAGATTTCTTGTGGGAGTTTATTTTGGAAAATAAGTACGAGACCTCATTTATTTTTCACTTATAATCATGTTATGTGCCTATGTTTGAATGCATTTATATTGGATAGTCCCGACAATGTGTGCAAATAATCATGCAGAAAGTAGTTTATCCTGTTTATGTGGCCTCAGCACCTCATAATTCGTAACTGAAGAACAAAATTTTTACGAATTAATTTGTTTTTGAGCTCTGCGATCTGCATTGGCTTGACCATTTTACCATCATGCCATACATTTAGTTTTATGAGGGTATTACCTTGGAACCTTTAATTAATTCATTAATTTTCAAGGAATATCAGACTAATCCTCAACAAGTTAGTTTTTTTTGGTTATTTTCAGAAGGCCCTGCTTGGTGCTTCTGTAATTGCAATGTGCACCTCAGAGTCCCTTTCTGCTTGCTTCATCCTACCCTTCCTGGTCATCAATCATAGCCTATATTTATTTAGTTGCTTAAACATCACACCTCAGAGTTCCTTCCTGCCTGGCGTTTTTTTTGGTTCTGAAAACATCATACCTAAGAGCATATGTTCAAATTTGTAATCCATAATGCCGAAATATGGTTGGTTTTAGACGCTAAAATTGTAACAGTTGTACATTTCTTTATCAAATGAGAAATTGGCAATGATTCATTTTTTTTTTACTTTGTAGAGTGATGCTAAAAAGCTACACAGAAGGCTTGCGCATCTGAAATCGGAAACTAATCCCCAGCGAAGATCCATACGTGATGGATTTTGTGGGCTTTTTGGACACAAAGTTAATGTTTTAGATCACTATGGAAAGAAATTGGAAACTTTAGAAGATAATGTGAGAATGGAGCAATTGTCAGTGGCAGGAAAGGTATTCATGGTATTATTTTTTCATGAGAGTTTGGTAATAATTGTTTTCAAATGGTAAGAACTCCTCTAGTTAAGAATTCCTTTAGCATTAATCTGAATGTAAGAGGTGAAACAAAAGTATCCATGAAATGTAATAGAAACCAGCAACACACACTCTTCTTCATATTATTTTTTTGTTATACTGCTTTGTATGTGGTGGCTTTAAGAAATGCATGAACAAACACACCTAGACACATATTTTTGACTTCTAAAAGGTGTCAGAATATTTAGAGAAAAAAATTATAATTTGATTAGATTATTCCAATATTGTTTGATTTATATGAGCATGAAATTTGATGTAGTCAATTGTTCCACAATGCCCAAAAAAAAATTATAGGAAGTTCCAGCTGCCTTTGTGTCACTTAAGTCCCGGCTTGGCGCTGCGATAGCTTTACACATTCAACAAGGAACAAATCCCACGGAATGGGTCACCGAGAGGGCTCCGGAGCCTCAAGATGTTCACTGGCCCTTCTTTTCTTCATCTTTTATAAAAATATGGATCTCTAAGCTGCTGGTGGTGGTTGCATACGCTGCTGTTACAATTCTATTCCTCATTCCAGTTGTAATAGTGCAAGGCCTTACTAATCTTGAACAGTTGGAAACGTATTTTCCTTTTCTGGAAAGCATACTGAACCTGTAAGTGGAAAATATAGCGTTTTCACTAATTAACTCTCTTATTTAAGACGTGATGCTGAATCATACAATTTCTTGACTTACAGAACAGTTGTCAGTGAAGTCATAACAGGATATCTTCCAAGTCTTATTCTTCAGATGTTCATTGCTTTAGTGCCACCCATCATGATAATGTTGTCATCCATGGAAGGTTGCATCTCTTTCAGTCAGATAGAAAAAAGTGCATGCACCAAGATGTTGTGCTTTACTATATGGAACATTTTCTTGGCAAATGCACTATCAGGAACAGTTCTCTATCGGTTTGATATCTTTCTTGATCCCAAAGAGATTCCGGGGATCCTTGCTGATGCTGTTCCAGCACAGGTGAAAATACATATGCAATGTTAGCACGTATCCCTCTCTGCAATAATCATATGAAGTTTTAAGAAGCTTTTAGCAAATTCATTACTTCCCATGTACTATGGCTATGCCCTTTCTCGTTTTTCTTAAATCTTAATTAAACTATAAAAAAGCTCCTTGAACTGTTGGAGGGTTCGCAGAAAGTTAACATGTGAAATTTTTACTCAACTACTTCCTGGTAATTTTTTCCCGGCCTTTAACGTTTTCAAATACTTTTTCTCGATCATCATTAAGTTATAATCTTGGTGATAATGGGAGGATAATTTGTTATCAATAAAAAATTGTGGTTCTTGTATGATTGTATCTTTGTCTGCCGAACTTGAGATTTGGCTTAAATGTTAAAAGTTGAACTTTTGAAACCATTTATTTACATCAGGAATTGATGATGAAGGATATTATATAGATTCTTTATCTTGGATGCAGGCATCATTCTTCATTGCATATGTTGTGACATCTGGATGGACCAGTCTTCTATCCTCAGTACTCTTCCGTCTGAAGCCCCTGATTTGCAGTATTATAAAAAGACCATTTTCAGGAAAAGATAGTGATGAATTGGAGGTTCCTTCAATTCCATACCATAGTCACATTCCTAAAGTTCTGTTTTTTGGACTCCTTGGAATAACATACTTCTTCCTAGCTCCACTGATTCTCCCCTTCCTTTTGATTTACTGTTGTCTGGGATACATAATCTACCGTAACCAGGTTAGTTGAATGCTTTCTTTTTATGCAAAATTATTGCATAAAAATGATTAACATTCTACCTTTCAAGATGAGACAACCTACTTCGAGCATTAGTGCTCTTTAAAGGTGAATAGCATAGTATAATATTACAATCAGTGTAATCAAGTGACAGGTTGGTCACACATATATTGTCTGAACTAATTGCACAAATTTACATAATCTCGTTGTAAATCTAATGGCATTTAAAATGGATTGATCCGCATTACTTAAGCATTGTCCTACTTTGAAGTGTAGCTACTTGTGAAATTGGATTGTTATTTACTCCGTGGTTCGTAGTATGCTTTCTCGTTTAACTATAATAGACCTTTAAGGCACAGACCGATCATAATTTAATTTGGAGAAAAGGCGGACATGGGAGGGAAGTTGGGATTTTTTTTTTTTTTTTGGGTCAAGGGGAAGTTGGGAGTTAGGACATAATATAACTTTATGTTTCAGAACCTGTCAATATATTGGGTCCTTCTGCCTAACAATTAGTGTTTCAAGGAGCAGACTGAAACTCCAAAATATAGGTTGTATGACGAAAAATTATCGGTGCAAGGGTAAAATCACTCTGTGGCTCCATGATACCACAAAGAAAAATTGGTACAACCCCAAACTCCTCTTGCACCTCCCAAACCTCAGACAAAGAAGCTTTCTGCATTGTCAAATTTTCTCTTCATTGAAATGTCTTCTGATTTTTGGCAATTTTTGGCAATTTGTTCTAGTGATATCAGAAGCTCATATAGGATCCTTGTTGAGTTGAATTACTAACTTACTATTCGAATACTATGCTGACACATTGAGAGTATTAGATGACTATTGTCCTTAGGACTCAACCTTGTATTTATGTTTATCCCATGAAGGATTCCTCTTGCTTATCTGATTACATTGTATTCTTATCATACTTGATATAGGACTCTATCTGTAATACTGTATAAATCAATACAATCTGCCCTCATTATAATTGAGGCTTTACCCCATACGTTGCAATTCTTTTATGGTATCAAGAGCCTATTGACTTACAGTCTGAATTTTTTTTTTTTTACCCCATACGTTGCAATTCTTTTATGGTATCAAGAGCCTATTGACTTACAGTCTGAATTTTTTTTTTTTTACCCCATACGTTGCAATTCTTTCAGAGAGTACTACGTAGTTTGTACCATCTAAGCTATCTATTTGGTCATTGGTGGAAATTTCATTTGTATTATTCATTGTATTTACCTATTTTTGGTTAATACATATTCTGATACTATTTAGTGAACAATTTGGAACAGCTGCTAAATGTATATGCACCCAAGTATGAAACTGGTGGAAGATTTTGGCCAACTGTGCACAACTCGACAATTTTTTCCTTGGTACTGATGCACATTATTGCAATTGGAATATTTGGGCTGAAGAATCTTTCCTTAGCTTCTAGTTTGATTGTCCCTCTTCCAATTCTCACACTTCTTTTTAACGAGTACTGCCGTAAACGATTTCTACCAATATTCGAAGACTACCCTCTTGAGGTATGTTGGCACCAAAACTATCTATTTAGTGTTGATTTTGTATTAGCTAATATTCGGACTTTGATCTATAGCATTCACTCTATCTCGTTATGTCAAAATCTGATAGTGAAAACCTAAGAGGTTATGATCTTTTGTTGTACCTTATTGGATAATGTTTCTTTTTTTATGTCTCTTGTTTATAAGCTAAAGGATGCCTCAGCCGACACTTTGGCATGTATATACGGGTCTAATTACTGTGTTTTATATGCAGTGTTTGATAAAGAAAGATAGAGAAGATCAGAATGATCCGACAATAGCTGTGTTTTATAATAAGTTAAGCACTGCATATGAGGATCCAGCTCTGATGCCAATTCGACATCCAAGAAGCACTGATGACCATAACTCACCCCTTCTTCAAGCTGGAGTCTGAAGTCAGCAGTTTGTCTTCTTACACTAAAAAAACTTACCTGTTTGTCAATGAAACTCTCTCAATAATTTGTGATGCTTGTGGAAAGAAAGAAAGCTTGTGCCGCTAATACCGGGACAAATTTTCGGCTAAAACTTAAGATAAGATTGTGTGTCTGTAAAGTCATATTCTGTATTCATGTAAAATGTAAAGTATATGATCTTTGAGTTAAGTTTGTGTTGGTCATTCTCACTGCTGTTATGGACAATTGATATTATGCTTGACGAATGTATAAAATAGTACTCTTTCAGTGTCACCGGCAACTAACTAAATTAACTAACTTTTGGTTGCCAAAGCCCAAACATGTTGATACTGGTGTTCCATTTGTCAACTTAAAACACTTCTTCTGCAACATTCTTGGAACCATTCCCATCTCCATTTCAATTTGTTGACCCTTTGTTGGAACCCTAATTCAAAACCCATTCTTTATTTTCTTTTCAAGAATAAACCTGGCATTTGTCAACCATACATATAATTTATGTCACACTCATGCCCTCCATTACCGGTCTGTCCCTTGTGCCACAAACAGCCTACGCTAGAAAAACTAGAAACCAGAGAATGCTGACAATTGGTTTGTTCTTCAGCCTCCACGTGGAGCAACAACAAAGGGCTTTTGACATTTTCTCAAAAAAAACATTAGGATGATCAAGCTCAGGTTGCCCCTGACGCAATCTAAGCTTCCCCTTTCCATGCTAACTTAAATACTTTTTTTTCCCTCTGCAATGAGGATGAACCAGAATCACAAACACACGTCATCGCATGCAGACATGGCAGCACCACAAGCTTAAAGTGCAGTCCAATCTATGTTTTTCTTCTTCTTAAAAAAAGAATAGTGACGTGATAATTATTTATTTATTCTTAGCAAAATCATGATATATTTTAAGTTGGACGTGAATTTTGGGCGAAAGACCAATAAAACAAGTGTGAACTCCAAAGATTGGGCTCTCTCTCGGACTCGTTCGTCTCATCTTTTGTTTTGGCCGCCGTACGGTCCCTTAGATTTGCTACCCCATTGATCCTTGTTATGATTTTTGTTTTATCTTTGTGTTTTTTGTTTTTGGTCTTAAAATCTTCTTCAATGGTGTGTTCTTCTGGCTAGCTTGTGCTCCTTGAGATGTCATATCAGAGGTTAACCATACAAAGTTACTAACTGTTTAGTACAAACTGACTTATTTTAATCTTGATATTTTCATATAATTACAAATAATCTTGCCAATCTAACTTTCGGAGAATTCGACATTTCGCGTGTTTGATTCCACCAAAAATTTAATGTATAATATTACAATTCTAAAGATTTTTTTGGGATGTCATATCAGACGTTACTCAACAAAGTTTATAACATTTGATATACCAACTTGTTAATCTTGATATATCATATTTTTAAGTATAAAATCTCATAATTATCGACCTCATTTATCGAAAAGTCAACCATTCATATGTTTGTTTCTAACAAAAATGTCATCATGTTATATGATACTTTCCTGATTACAAAGAGAAAATCAAACCGCTGATTTAACATAATTCTAACTCATTTCCTCACCTGACCGCTTATATCAACTTCAAGTCCTTATATTACCATCAATCGGATTCCAGTTGAGTAAGTCCAAAAACGTCATTTTACAAGCATGATGAATGACGTAAACCCATCCAAGATAATGAAATAGAAAAGGTGTTTAGATATGATATAATAAGATGGCATTAGAAAACAAACACCCCTTATCATGTAATTAAATAAGTCTTTAGAATGGCCTGGACATGCTTCATTGTGGAGGTGGCTTTGTACAAATCGCTGTTCTTAACTTTGGTCATAAATGACGAGAGCAAAATGATAGGGTCATTAGGGGATTTTCATTGCATGGTTATTCACCCAAAGCAGTGTAAATTGACCTTATTTGGCTAATGAAAGTGACATTTCACGCGTTGTTTAACAAGTCACATCGCAGGTGAAAAAAAGAATGTTTGCCCCATGATTTTTGTGGCTGTGTTTACTGTGTTTGTCCTTTCAAAACAAAGCTAGTGCTTGCCTTATAACCTCCATGGAATTTAAAGAGAAAATGTAGATCCCCTGTTTTTGTTTTGATTGGGGCAGAAGGGAAATTGGAACCATCGCCAAAACTAGTATTTAGAAATCTAGTGTTGGTATTTGATGAAAATGCCATTGTACTTTAGGGATGAATTTGGATATGTTATTAGTATAAGTTCAAAGTGTAGCTTTTTAGTTTCAATTGGAAACAACTGATCGAGTTAGAGGACCAAATTGAAACTCGGGTATAAATTCAGGGACCACCCATCATCTTAAATTACCCCCCAAGTTGCCTTGAATGGCTTTCAATATTATTTTCCATTGGAATTCAGTAAATATAATTGTATCCTGTAGTGGTAGTAATGGATATTCTGCACTTAAATTAGAGAGAGCTCACTATGTTGTCTAATTAGGCTCCATTTGTTGTTCTCCTTGGGGATCATTTGGTTGCTGATGTACTTGAGTTTTAATGCCATGAGATATTCAATAGAAGGGAACAAGTAGTCCCTTTCTCTACAAAGATGACTTCTATGTTTGTATCTCCTTGGTGCTAGAAGATACGTCAGTGAGTTATAAAATAAACACAAAAGTTTATAAAATACATGTTTCTGATAAAAGAAATGCAGAAAAAGGGAGATGTATGACTCATTCAAGCTCACAATTCCGTGTTATTAATATGTTGTTTAAATAATGGCATAGAAGAGAGATATAGGCATCTTTGGCTGGGTCAAATGCAATGCAACAATTGCAGGTCCCTTTCCATTTGGTTAGTGTTAGGCCGAGAGGAAAAAGAAACAAAGAAATGAGAACAAACGGTACGACCGTTTCAAACCTGCAATCATTTTTTTGAGAGGATCTTCAGTTCCCTACATATATATAAATGCACATCCCAACGGAACCAGATCATCAAAGCAATTGAGCCTTCAGCTTCAAGTAAATCACTTGCAAGTACAAAACATAACACACTAGCAAAGAAAAATATACTCGAAAGAAAAGAGCTATAGATATGGCAAGGAAGAGAAAAGTTAGTGATGGAGTGGAAGACAGGAGTTCAAGTGAGGGAACCATGGCTTGGGATGAGATGGTGAAGGAAGCTTCGGCTGCTGCAGAGCTAGGAGGAGCACGAAGAGCTCGAAAACGCTTTGTTGGTGTCCGCCAAAGACCCTCCGGAAGATGGGTGGCTGAGATTAAGGACACCATTCAAAAGATAAGAGTGTGGTTGGGCACATTTGACACTGCTGAGGAAGCAGCCAGGGCCTATGATGAGGCTGCTTGCTTGCTCCGCGGTGCCAATACTCGAACCAATTTCTGGCCTTGCTCACATTCACCATCTTCAACACCAGCACTTCCCTCAAAGATCACAAACCTTCTCCTGCAGAGGCTCAAAGCAAGAAACAACAGCAGCTCTTGTTCTGCTCCTTCAGCTCCTTTGCCTATCAACCACCATCAAATGCAGCAACATGCCGATCATCAGGAAGAAGAAGCAGGAGCGGATTTCTCAGAAACCCAATACACTGATTTCCTTAATGATCCTGAAGATTACATCACAAGCAACAATCATGACATCATTAGTGCAAGTAGCATTGACTACATGACATCAAGCTTTGAATCTTGCTTGACTGAGAAGGAAGAGTACTCTACTGCAAGAGAAACTGATCAAATGGACTATGGCAATTTGAGTGAAGTGGCACAGATTTACAGTGGCGGGGATGCAAATTTTGTCGGTGAAGGATCAGAGGAAGATATGGATCAAGAAGAAGAAGAAGAAGTCAATGATCAAGTTGGTGTGATTGATTTCCAGTTTGTGGATGATATTGGAGCATCCAACTACTACTCTCCATCTCCTTTTGAGATTGCTGAGGAGATAGAGGAGCCAGTGGAGTCAGAGACCTATGCAGATGAGCCTTCAATGCTAAGAGCAGCCATGAAGAGAATGAAATATGAAAGAAAGTTCTCTGCTTCTCTCTATGCCTTCAATGGCATACCTGAGTGCTTAAGGTTAAAGATTGGATCTTCATCGTCGTCATCATCATCATCATCAGGAAATGCCAAAGGGAGAGGCATATCTGAGTCCTTAAGCAACCTTCAGAGAGCCTGTAACAAGAACAAAGAGGAAGCTGCTGCCGCTGCTGCAAAACAAGAATATCAGGGGGTGGTGATTGGGAAGAAAGAAGAGGAAGAAACCCAACAGAGTTCAATGGATATTTCTCTGAGTAGTGATGGTGAATTGTCACTCTGGAGCTCACTTGATCTGCAACCCATCTGTTTTTTGTCAACTAATTGATGAAAAAGAGAGCCTTTTAGTTTTTTACTTTTAACAAATTCATCTTCTAATTAGTTCCAGATCATCTGGAATTCACCATTATTCCATTCTTTGCAATATTGCTGATCTCCTAATGTATGTCAAAGAAATAGTGAATTGTAATTTGAGCTTCCGGTTGAAAGAAACCACTGAAGTAATAATAAATTGAATTGCTTCTCTCCATAATTTTTTGTGTAACGTTTGTGGTGAACAAGATGTGTTTTTCAATTGTCATAATGCATGATACATTCAGTATTTTATCAGATCAGAAGGAAGAAGACGTCCAAAGAGAAGACTTTACTTGGACAGATGAAGAACAATAAAAATACCGCCAGAGGCTAAAGACAAACGAGGTCTTTTTGTGGTGCATTCAATGCATCGGTGTATTGTAGATTTAGTCCTTGAATTAAAAGATTAAATGATTAAAATTCGGTCGTTAATAAGATAATGCACTGATACATTATATTGCAAATACACATTTATTAGACCAAAGAAATGGAAAAGTTGGGGCTTTGTTTTTGTTGAGTTGTCACGTTGGGACACAAGCTAAAAGGAAACACATGTTTTTTTTTATCTATCTTCTACATTCTTCGTTCTGGTTCTTCTTTCTGGTCAAGTAGTCCGATGAATCACAAGGAGCTTGCAGCTCAAGTAAAAGTAATTAAGAGTAATTATCTCTAGACCCAAAGACCCTCCTTCAATATCGCTTGTATAAAAAACAAAACCAAAAAACCAAAAACCACAAGCACAGGATAATAGCAACGACCAGACCAGGAACGAAAACAATTTTCTATTAAAGTGGTGGAAGTGGTTCAGCATGCATGCGATCAACAACATCATAAAGTAAGTCCCATCAATGAATTTTGCCTAAATATGAAAAGGAAAATTTGCATTAGATAGAGCATACTCCAATGAGAGGTTAGTTCTTTCACACAGATTTGCGTGTTGCTTTAACGAGCAAAATCCAGGACAGAACAGACCACTTCAAAACCAAAACTAGAAATGACCGTGGCCAATGCCAGTGTAGAATACTGGCTCAATACAAGAAGAGCTACAAACCCATATAAAACTGGGGATAAGATGAAAAATAGTAAAAAGTGGCCCAAAGACAGATTAATATATACACGGTACAAGTTATTTTTTTCATTTTTTTTTTCACAAGCATCACGACAGATTCACAAAGGACTTTGTTGGGGAGACTTGGCGCTCTAGCTTTAAAGGACACGAAGTTGTGCAAGGAAAGCAGCACAAAGATCCAAGAAGAGAAACTGGGGGCCCTGAACCCTCTGAAGATCAAGCAGATACTTCTCCTCCCGAGTTTTGAAGAGCTGTTTAAGACCCCGAAACAGCAGTAGAATGTATGTATTAGCATTATGTTCTGGAAAGATACTCGAGACAAGATGATCTGAAAAAGGCAACTATTTTCAATATGCAAACTTGACCAAACAGAATTACATAAAGTAACAGTTACCTGCACTTCAAACTTGACCACATTTGGCGTCTTCATGACACCATCATTTTCAATGATGCTGGATTCATCGCCAAAATAATGGTTACTGTGCAATGAATTGTCGACCATGCCTTCATGATGACCAGGAGTTCCGGGAACCCACCTACACTTCATGTTGTAGTGCCCTATCTTCTTCCAACAAACCCGCAATTCTTGTAAAGCTTTAAGGACTTCTGTCATTATTTCACGAGGATGCGCTCGAGACTGCCAATGAAAGGATCAACAATCATAAATTGAATGTTTGATGTTCACTCCATTCAACCTACCACTACTGTACATGTCCAGAAGGACCAGCACACTTAGTGAGCTCAAAACAAATTCCTAGACGTCACAAGCATTGACTGTTTCAACATACCAACCAATTCGATATGTTTACCCAACTATCTTCTAACACAGCAGAATATATTATCTTTTTATGTCCTATTCCCAAATAATAACATGAAGTCAGAGAAATTTAACCTGAAGCCCAAGAGCCCATTTCCTTTCAACAGGGAACTGTGGTCTGAAACCCATTCCTTGATATTCCATATATCCTGGAAGGCGGTGCCCAACAGGTGAAGCAGCAGCCTCGCTTTGATGCATACGGTTGAAACCACATTCCTGGACCAAAAAAACGAATTTGAAAGAAAAGGAGAAAAAAATAACTTCAATCCAATTGGTGCCCGATCTTAATACAGTTATGCACAGCAAAGAAGAATATAATGAACTTGATACAAACAGTTCAAGCATTTAAAACATTTTCCCCAATCATGTTATGGTACAAATTATGTCCATTCACAGATCTATCATATTCCTCAACCACTCTAAGTTGGATATCTCCAGAATGGATCCTGTTTCAGACGAAGTACAAGTTTCTCCTAGCTTCCTTTTTAGCTATACATACCACAGTCTCCTGAAACTCAGCTCCAAGATAGCCACTGGATACACGGAAACGGTTGTCCAATAACAAATAGTATGCAACTGTTCCCTGAAACATGCAAAAGGTAATTAGACTCTATTGGAAAATCAGAAGGAGAATAAGGTCCAAAGGTGCAAACCTCATTTTGTACTCTGCCACGAAGAGATTCAACTAGAACGTTCCTGTCAAATCCCATCTTAACCACCTCCTGAAGAATTTCCTCATCAATCTGCAAAACGCAAGGTGACACATGAAGAACTTATGATAATAGGTGTACACCAGTGTATGATGCAGCCAAAACAGAAAAGGATATGCAGTAAGCAAGGATCAGCTGATATGTCAACTTTTTGTTGCATAAACAAAATTACACTAACATTTCTCTATTCTATTTAAACACGGGGACACATATCACTTTGCACATTGAGGAAAAGCAAAGTAGAACAGCATTATGACTCCAATTCACAAAACCAAAAAGAAAAAACAAACAAACCTTTTTTGCTTGTTGCATTGTGTCTGGTGGAGGAACAGCTAAATAACGAGGAAGATGAGCCTGGAACCATGCATGCTGACGAATCTCAGGGATGGTCATTCTTTTCATTGGATCAACTACAAGCATCCTTGGTATCAAGTCTCTTGCACCAGGTGACAAATGACTAGGAAGAGTGTATATCCCACCCTTTATTTTCTTAAACAAGTTGGGAATGTTTTCATCATCAAATGGAAGGGTGCCACAAAGAAGAGCATATAGTATGACTCCACAACTCCACACATCCACTTCAGGCCCAGCGTACAGTTTGCCAGAAATGACCTACAAAAGATGAAAGAGATGAAACATTGGAGATAGAAATCAAGCCATGATACAAGAATAATGTATTCAAATTTCCTATTTAAAAATGACTAAAAGGCCATCTAACCACAGTCTTTATACCTCTGGAGCAGCATAGTTTGGGCTGCCACAACTTGTCTTGAGAAAATGGCCATCACGCATTATGTTGCTCAGTCCAAAATCAGCAATCTTCACATTGCATTTGGAATCCAAGAGCAAATTCTCGGGCTTTAGATCTCTATGAACAACCATGTTTCTGTGACAATACTCTACGCCAGAGATTATCTGCCTCAGGAAAAAATATTGGCCTTATGTAACTCATATGAGAAGAAAAAATAATGGTAGAAGAAAGAGAACAAGACAATTGCCAAATAACCTGCTGAAAAAAGTTACGAGCTTCATCTTCCTGCAGCCTACCCTTCTCTACTATATAATCAAAGAGCTCTCCGGACTTCACATACTCCATCACAACATAAATGTCTGATGGTGTTTCAATGACCTCATAGAGTCGTATAATGTGAGGATGCATAAACAGTCTCAGTATTTTGATCTCTCTTCTCACTGCACCAAAATTTAAGGGTGAAAAGGAAGGGAAAAACAAGTAAAGTACAAAGGTTTATACTTTGAATTCAAGACAGAACAGTCTGAAATAGAAAAAGACAAGTAATCAAATTCAACCATTGTTCACAAAGTGAGAGGCTGACCTTTCTCTTCCATTTCCATGTTCTTTATCTTGCGCCGGTTGAGGATCTTGATGGCAACTTTATGGCCAGTTAATGCATGCTCTGCAATCTTGACCTTTCCAAAAGAACCAATACCAAGAGTTTTTCCAAGCTTGTAATTGGGTAAATAAGCATCCGCACTGCTGCCCCCACGGCCAACCGATCCATCCATTTTCCTAATCTAAAGGCATGATCATAAATATAAAAAACTCAGACAAACATGCAAGAGAGTGCAAACACCGATATATTTTGGAAGATGAGATTTACAATTACACCAGGAATGTTACTATTTAATCTAGACCAGCAGACTTGTCATTCCAAGTATACAAATGTACACTCAAGTGTATACTCAAAACAATAATAATAATAAAAAGCGACTTCGATTGGAACTGTAATTTCAGAAAAACATAAAGAACATAGAAGTTTGATTATTTGTGGAGCAAATTTATATTGTGAACAACATCGAAATGCTTCTGCCCTTACTCCATCAGACACCGAAAGAGCAAAAAGCTATTTATACTACAATTGCAACTACAAAGTAAAAGTAAGAGAACCCGCAATGGATGCGTAAGGGCCAAAACTCAGTCATAGCAACACCTCAAACAGAACTCCCATCCCCAATTTCCATACATCACTCATGTAAAAAAAAAAATTGCATCTTTGAGGAAGATAACAATAAGAGGGAAATACATTAAGGAAAAAAGAGAAGTTGAAAAACCCACTTTTAAATCAGAAACAGGAACCTAATTCATATAAATCAATCAGTAGCTTCAAACAGAAGAAAAATTTCCCAAATTTCCGAACTTAATAGCTTTTTTCCCCAATTTTTCCAATACTTGTCTAATTCCAGAGATTCCAATAAACCTAGCTGCAACAGATCCCAGAAACTATCAATAAATTCACATAATTGACAATTAAACAAAACACCCAGACAAGCATGCAATTCAACAGAAACAGATAATACAGAGAATGAGAGAGAGAAAGTTACATGAAATTAACTCCGAAATTGAAGTCGCTGATACGAAAGGCGAAAAGGGTCTCTTCGAATTGGATTGTGAATGAGCAGTATCGCAGAGACCCCTAAAAGGCTATACTGAAAAATGGAGACGCAGAAGGGCGCCCTGTCGTGTGTTATTCTTTCTCGCTTCGGACTTTCACAGACTCCGCCACGATCTTCTATTAATCTATTTACTATCTTAATTAATTAATGTTTTAAATTGACAGATTCGCCCATGGCATTTGCTGAAACGACAAAGGAGTTTGCTTTCTCAGATGGTTGATTTGGTTTTGTGTAGGGGCAAAGTGGGGATTTCCCTTGATTGTTTTGGTTGAAGGCAAATCGGAGGAAAAATTGGGGGCAGTAAATTAGTGAGCTCTGGCTGCCTTTCTCTCGTCATCTGAGCTTCGATTTTCTACTGTTTAGCAATTTTTCTGTCAAAGTCTTAATTTTTTTTAATATAACAGTTAAAATAAAAATTAAATTAGTTATTAATGACAAGACAATATATTCTAATTCTGTAAAAGGCACATCAGTTTACATGGTATTTTATTTTATCCTTTTCAACTGAATATATTCCAATCATTAAATTAGTTATTATTATTTATTTAAAAGTGATTCCTATGAAACCTTATGTTTGGAGCTATTGTAGTGATGATTTCTATGAGACATGATTGACTAGGATGACAAAGTTGATTTGGATCTACTCGGCCCGCCATTAAAATGCCTATGTCTCCTACCAAAAGGGTAGCATTGTTGGCATTTTTCAGTTCATCTATAAGGCAAGAAGAACTTGCATGTCATGAGAGTAACACTGTTTTGCTATCCCGTGACATGCAAGTTTTTCTTCTACAAGGCAAGCTTGGACAGCAATATGTTAGTTTGGCTATTACAAAGATTCAAGCCTTGAACCCACAAAAATAAGTTTTCTTGCTCAACATAATGAGCTAATATGCAAGCATAACAATTTGGCTGCAAGAATATCAAAAACTTCTGCTTAGGCTTTGATTCAATAGAGCTGGATAAACAGTTTTACAACCTACAGGCTGAAGAACAATCCCAGTAGTACTACGAACTATATGTGCGAGCGTGGCGTGCTTCAACTGCAAACAAGTCATTAAACAACAAATAAATAGTAAACAAGTTACATATGGATCATTCATGTGTTCTATACAATGTGGATTTTACATGACCATGTCAACTGAAAGTGTCACCATACACATTATTTGTAAAGTTTGAAGACAAAAACACCCTAATAGTCTGGAATGGAGGCGAAACGGTATCCTTTCGCACCTCTCCATGCATAATATGCAATTCGTGTCTCATAAAAGCCTGCAGCCATAAGAATGATATGAAATCAGTCAGTCAGTCAGTCAGTCATCAATCAATCTACTGAAACAATATGGAGTATTTCCATGTGTAAAGAATTAATCCATCGAGATACCCGGTGGCCAGACTCAGTAATATGGTTTAAGATTTAATCCTATGCTCAAATAGTTACATCAAAGGGGAAATCCAACATATGAATGAGGGAATTTAAGGTCATATGAAGTTATCCATCTGAGATTTATATGCCATCTCCTCTCAAACTGAAAGATTTTATTTTCTTCATCTCTAATTGTATGATAAGGCAATTTATAAGACAAATTTCCTATTCTTTGAATTGGTTCATTAGTCTTGAACTCTAAAATAGTCAGTCAGTAATATAACTTTAAGTTGTCACAACAGATAGGTAGAGGTAACGATAGAAATGGAAATATCTTTTGACATACCTGGGAGGAAGGTGAGAATTCCTAGAGCCAAAAGACCATAGGCTTGGGACAGATCCCCTCCCATGTGACCAGTGAAAATAAAGTATGAAAGAAACAGAAGCAATGATCCAAGAAAAAGCAGGAATAGAGCAAGGAGTATGGATTTCCATGGGATTTTATCAAAGGACTTCGGAGTATAGGAAAACCGAGGGTCATTTGGTTTTCCATAGACAGCATCATTTTCATCAGTAGCAAGAGGGCTGTAATGAACATTGCGCCTAGATGCCATAACCAAAGTGTTCAACAAGACCTGAAGATAAAAAATGAAGCAGACTAAGCAGCGGTAAGCATCATATAAGTCTTTTTCTTTTAATAAGATGCACAAGGTTTAACCTTTTCAAAACAATAAAGCAAATGCACAATATGAATGCATATACAGATGAGGTGTGAAAAAGGTTAAATAAATACAATTTGTTAACACTGAATTCCTGTCACAACTTTATTTAAGGTACCTTAAAAACAGATGACAGGAACTTGACATGCATGTTTCTTTTTCTCATAATTAGGAACAATACACGGGGTTTCCTTCTCCCAGGATAAAATTGAAGTACAGAAAGGATAAATATGACAAATCACGGATTACCTTAACGGATTGTATACCAATAATGTATATACTCTTTTGAACAAGGAAATAGAACTCTTGATAAACAAGCTCGGGTAACAGCAGAGAATCATCATAGTTACGCAAGAAGAAACAACTTTTTTGCAGAACAGGAAAAATATCATGTTCCATTATTCATATGAAGAGAAACTTTGAGAACGATGACTTCATGTTCTTAATTATTATATTTCTTCACTCACATCTTTCCCATTTTATTTGTGGAGGTAACATTCGAAATGAAGGGTCAAATTTCAAGTACTTCAATCTGAAAAGCCAACCGTATCTCCAATAACAAGTCTACATTAAACTTGTAAGTTATCAAGTTTGGGCGCTAATGATACACAAACATTCAATCAATTATGGTATGTCCAAATAAGCACAGACCGAAAAGAAGAAGTTAATTTACAACTTGATAACTTGTACTAGATAACCAATTCAAAAAAAGAACAGAAATCCAAAGAAGCACACACACAAAAACAAAAACAAACAAACCCATTGAAAAAACAGGACAGAAACATCGTATGAAACATGGGAGAGCCCGAATGGCTCCTAAAAACTAAACCCACAAACTAAAATCACAAGAATTTAACAAATCTACTAACCCAAGACTTGTCCTTTCAACCTAAACCGCGATTGCAATCCGGTCACTTCTCTGCAAATGCTCTAACCAGAGACTGAAATTCAACCTCAGTCGGTGAAAAAACCTCAGATAGTTAACAAAAACGAAGGAGATCAATTGGGTTATGGTCTCTTTGGTTGGCTCAAGGGTTAATCAGTAACGGGCAGCGAAGAAGATACGAAGAAGAAGGCAGAAGGGGGACCCGGGTCGGCGGGCTCGGGTGAGTAAATTAGCAATGGGCTTTGGGTGCCAAGGCCACACGATTAAGTGTGTAAAGAAAACACTTTAGTTAACTTATTTAATTGAAAGCCGTTAGTTACCTAATTTAATCCTTCTCTCCAGATGTCAATCCCTTATTGGGTAATTGATGTATACAACAGCATTCAAGTTGAGAATTGCTTCTATATGTGATAATAATTTTGTTTATTACAGAGTTGGGGAAAGTTGAGAAAAGGGTTTACCTTCGCTCAAGAAGTGAGAAAAAGATTTGGTATGTATCTCCTTTTTCATATTATGGTATTTCTTCATGTTTTCCTTTTGAATTGCATGCATGACTTTTTAGCTTCTGCTTGATTGTTAACTGCAATTTGATATTCTGGAATTCATCTACAAACTTCTTGTTCAATTTGAATTAAGAAATTGGGCATGGGGAGATGTGATTGAAATAGAGCCATAATATTTTTCTTGGGGTTTCATCGTTTCAGTTAGTCTTTTTTTTTTTTTTTGGCTAATAATTTTTAATTAGGGTTTATGTTCACTACGAGTCTTTATCATAGTATAGACAGAGATACCAAAAGTTTTAACTAGGGTTTCAGTGGGAGATCATGTGTGTAGTCCTTGTAGTTATATATAGTGATGTTGTAATTAAACATATAATAGGAATTCATGGAAATTACAATTTACAATTAGGGTTAAAGTCTTACCAACCTCCCTTCTCTCCAAACCATCTTCTCAGAACAAGCCTTTTGTTTCGGCAACTGTTGTACGTCCCGCTATGCAATTCCCGAAATAGTTTTATACCATGCTTTTAGGAAAAAGCCTAGCTACCACTGTTTAAAAATAAATAAATAAATAAAAAATCAGGTGAGAGTAAATGAGTAATGACATGTGCCTAATAAGCTACAATGCATTACTCCTTTTTGCCTTTCTTTTATATACTTTTGTCTCAAATTAAATAAGGATCGAAAGATTTCTGGTCTTTCTTTGTGTTTCCCTTTTAATTGCATGCATGACTTCTTTTTTTTCTTTTTCTTTTTTCATGAGGAGACTTGGTTTGCTTTGCTTCCCCATTAATTACATCGGTGATTAATGTAATTCGATATTTTGGATTTCATTGGCAAAATTTTTGTTCGGTTTGCATTAAGTTGGGGAGGGGGGAGATGTGATTGAAATAAAAATAGAGCCCTAATTTTTCTTTTCTTGAAATTTTTGTTATGCTTCCTTTTTGTCTAAGAAGTTTTCATTAAGAGCAAGTACAGTAGCTCTGGACTCGGGCTAGGGGACTTTTGGACAAAAAATCGATTCCAGCAACTCAGGCTGGCCCGAGTTGGAGGTGGGGACCACGAAGACAGGCTGGCCCAAGGGTAGATCGAGCCCGAGATCCAAAACGAGGGGGGCTGACGTCAGCAACAAAAAAAAAAACAAAAAAATTCAGATTTTTAAAAAATAAATACTTAGTCATATTTTTCACTTCCCACACCAAAAATCTTTTTTAAAAAAATTATCCAAATTAATTGTTTAGGTAAACAAATTTGTGAAAAAAACAAAAAAATTAATAGTGTTTGCCCTTTGCCATGGCAATTGCTGGAAACACACATTGCTTTTTGCAAGGGCAGCCACTATTCATGTGAATAGTAGCTGCCCTAGCTCCCCCTTTGCCATGGCAAGGGTTTTACTGTTGGAAGTGCTCTAAGGGTTTGATGATTCGATGTAGTAGAGAGAGATGAAAAGTTTCACCAAGTTTCAATTCTTGTTTTCATTTTTCTTTTCCAATTTTAGCGGGTATGATATTTATGTTGTAATTAATCGTCTAATAAACAACAATCAAGACAGGTCAAACCAGATTAGTACAGTGAACACAAACTCAACGGTTTCCGATGGCAATAGACATGAGAGATCGAAGAGTGAGAACTACGGTATGAACTTCAGTTTTTATATTCGTTTTTATTTGATTAATTGAATCTATATATTTATGTTTCAAGGTTGTTATTTGTGATCTTATATATGAGGTAAAGTTCATAGTATAGATATTGGTCCCATACGGTGTTGCCTTTGCATTGAATTGTTATGCTTTTGGCTAGTTGAATGATTTAGGTCAATATAATGTCTGAACTTTAACTTGTGTAGTAATTTATCTTTTAAAAATAAATGATATTTGAATACCTCTAAACTTTTAAACTTGTTGCATTGTACGAATAACTATCAAACTTGTCTACTGTCTTACTAAATAAGTTGGACATATATATAATGCACACGTACCCCCTTAATTTTTTAGAGTATTTTTCTACTTCTTCCTCCTTCACCCCCCCTCAGCTCTCTCCTCTCTCTCTTCTCTTCTTTTTCTCTCTTTGACGTTCTCGATCGCATTGTCTCTCATAATCAGGTGGACCGACATGCCGCGGTTGACAAACTCGACCTCTATACAGAAGACGTAGTTGCCATATTTAAAAAATTCCAAGCATCAACTAAGGAGGAACTGTCAACTGAACAAGTACGTGAATTCTTGGAAGCTAATGGCCAAAATTTCTCTGGCTCTAATGATGCTCTTCTCCGAAGATGGTTAGTCGTTCTTTGTTTGAGCATATGATCAGAAATATATTATATATGAGAACCTTCAAATTCTTAGACACAAGACGAAGTAAGTAACTAAGTTTATTTGTGAGTTGCTTAATTTTACTACTTACTATTGTTTGTTGCATTGCAGCCAAGACTTGTTGTTCTATGGGCCATTAGGGAAATGCCCTATTTGCCATGAAAATAATTTGGAGTTCACCGGATATTATTGTGAGTGTGCCACTTGCATCTATCGCTCTAAGTATCCACCAAGGAAACGAGGGCCTATCAAGTACCCTATTAGCATCATGAAGCAACTGAACCCTCATTTCAACCCTGATTTCGATCCTCCTTATGTGGTGAATATCATTCAAATCTCATCCATCTATCCATTCTTCACATTTGTGTGAGTTGTGTAACTTTAATGTGTGTGTTTGGTGCAGGAAGATCAAGGGTTCATCGCTCGTTTATGGTCAAATTTCTTTCAACTACATATACACGATCCAAGGGTATAACATCAACCTAACATCTTTTCTTGCATATATAATTCACATGAATTAATAATTTGGAATTAAATGGGATGGTTGACTATATTAATTGCAAATAAAGATATTAATTATTATTTTTGTGTTGGTTCATTACAGTTTGCTCAAAGAGTGGGAATGACACTAAATATATATCAAGACGAGGTGAAGATTAATGGCCGGAGGATGAACAAGAGAACTTTCTGGATCTCTGTTTACGTGGTGGTTTTTGTGCTAACCTGTTTTTGTTTCTTCATGGTCAAACTTTGGTCCGATCTGTCCACACCATGAAGATCCCAATACTTTTTGCTGAAAGCTTAAAACAAAGTTTTCTGTTGCATTTCTTTCTACCATTCTTTAAATTAAAACTAGATGAGATGAGTGAAATGCCATTTGTTGTAAATTGGGGATGCACATGCCTTGTAGGGTCGAGGGAGAAATTAGTAATGGACTGATTTGTTTCTGTTTTGCTTAATTATTAATTCAAATTGGTCAAGGTTTAGAGCGTTTTGTGGTTGGTGGATTGGAACAATTAATGAGTCAGTTAGATGATGATTAGTTAGAAGGAATCATATGATAAGTAGCTAGCTAGCAAGGATAATGAGGTGGTGGACATGGGGCGTTTGCGTTTGGAAAATGAAGTTGGAGGAGATAAGCTCAAGGATCAGTTTGAACCTAAACTTTCAAGAGCATCTTGTTGTGAATTAGGACCAATTCACTCCCCTTTAGACCTTGTTGTTGATGGACTATGGACAAGACTCAATGATGGATGAGTCTTACACACACACACAGAAATTAACCAAGCACAAATGACACAAGTGTTTATAGAGGTTCAGCAAATTTTGCCTACATCCTCTTGGTGATCCCCTTGAGAAATTTCACTAATGAAGATAGGTTACAACTTTGGTTTACAACTGAAAACCCCCTTAGAACACTACCCTCACAATCTGTTTCTCTCTCACCCTTGCTCAACACCTTGATACACTTGAGAACTCTCTCTACTACTTGACTCACTAGTTTTCAGCTACTTCACTCCAACCCAATCTCTTTTGCTTCCTCTTCCATATAATAGACAAGTCTTTGGGCTTGAGAAAAGACTCCTTCTTTTCCTCCCACGTTCTCCCCTTGGTTTCCTGACTTAGACCACACATTGGGCAGACAAAAGGCTCTCCATTTATGGCTTCATGTTCAGCCACCCCTTTTAGAACCATAGGGTAGGAACATCTTGAAACAAGCAAACAACTTTCCTTAATTTGCTCCCTTGGCTTCCCAGCAACTTGCCACCTTTTATTTAAGTCAGAAGTGACTTAAAAATCTCCTTGCAAGTGGGTAGAAAACGATAGCACACTAAAGAAACTGTTGAGAAACAGTGCAGATTCGAAATAGCACGCGTTGGGCGACCGGGCGCTTTTGCACAGAGTCTCCAGACTTCGAATTGTCTTCCTGCGACCGGTGGGCGACCGGTCGCTTGCTACCTGCGACCGGTCGTAAAGAGATAGCGACCGGTCTCTCGTCGACTTAGCTCCAAACTTCGAATCTGTGTAGAAACGACCGGTCGCAAATGTACTGCGACCGGTCGCTGGTCCAATCCTTTGTATCCTTTAAGCGAGCCAATTTTCCAACACATCTTTGGATCTCTTGCGACTTCTAGAAGGAACCCAGTATTTTTGAACAATAAATAATTTCTTTTGGAGTTGGAGGTCAAAACAGAAACTTAAGGCATGATATGTATTTACTTTCTAACTTTGTTCCTCTATGCGCTTAGGGTTGAGGGAAAATTTATGTGTTGTTTATGTGTTGCATGTGTATGAGAAGTGATACAATGATGTTGCTTATCTTTTTAGGTGCCCTTTGTCATATTTCAAAAATATATACGAATATTTAAATAGTATAGCTGTGCGTCTATACTCTTTAAATATATTATGTTTTAATTATTTATTAATATAAAATATAAAAAACAAAGTCTACAAAATAATTTAAAATAATTAATTACTATTTATTATGTAATTTATGAAATCATTAAAATATTTAAATATTCACTGAAGAAATAATAATGAAAATACAATTACAAATTAAAGTAATTAAAAAAGGCTAAGATATTACTTAATTACATCTATATATATAAAGCAAAAGGCAGAGAACAGTGAAACATTCAAAATACCAAAAAATGCCCTTGGTTAATGCAAACATTAAGAATTGAAATTACTAATTAAATGAGGATAATATGGTAAATTCACACTTTTTCATATTTAAAAAATTAAAATTTAAAGAAAAATCAAATAATGAATCCTATTTTTATGGAACACAACTACCCATTATCTTTTTTAATTCTAAAATAAATTTGTTTTATTTTTTTTAAAAGCCTCTCGCAGGCGCGGAAGCGCGTGCAGAGAGGCTAGTATATAATAAATTAAACAAGTTGGTCAAAAAATAAAAGTAAAGAAACTGATTTTATATTTTAAAAATAAATAATAAAAAACCAAGAAAACCTATCCCGACGAAAATTCGTAGGCATAGGATACTAATTAAAACATAACTACTAATTAAAGTAATTAAAAAAGAGAAATTCAGATTATGATATATTTCAAGGTATAGCAGCGCGGCTATACTATTAAAATATTATGTTTATTTTAAACGTATAGCCGCTTGGCTATACTATATAAATAGAATATTTTCAAGGTATAGCCGCGCGGTTATACTCTATAAATATAATATTTTAAACGTATAGTCAGTCGGCTAAACTCTATAAATAGCGATTTAAGCCTACCGCCTAGCGATTTTTCAAACTTATGCACTGCATTCCATCATAACATCTAATATTTGCGAAGCTTTTAGTCTTCTTCCCTATCACTTGAATGATCAAGATAGGATCAAAATCCATCCCAATTGAAATTCCAGCATCCTCAAACATCTTCGTCACGTTAGCTTCTTCATAAAACTTGAATGCTAAATTCAAGTAGTCTTCAGCAAGCAGATCGGTGTATTTACCATGGTCTTTCCACTATTTTTCCAAAATTTTCTATTCTCAGTCAAATCCTTGGCTGTTGGATCTGGCTAGTACTATTTCAACTTGATCGAACAAGCTGTCTCTTGCCAAAAATGGGTCAAAGTTGTAAAACTGAAAAATAAAATTTTGATATGAAAAATAGAATAATACCGCATTTTTGAACTGTTCTCCATTGAAATGCTTTTGGGCGTTTGAAGTTGATCTGCACTTTGGACGCACATGAAAATCATTATATATTGGCCATAGACCATGTGTTGGCACTAAAAACTGAACAGATGGAGATGAGTGCAACTTACAAGTGGGATGGACGATCAAGAGATCGATTGGATGTTGGATGCCGATTCTTCCTGTCCTTGGATGCTGATCCTGAATAGAAGATAAGCGAAGCTCGTGAGGTCTATGGAACCGGTGTGGAACCAGCCTAAGACCCTCCGATGCTCAAGTAAGATTGTTTTTAAGAGCTCTTGCTGTTGACCATATAAAAGTATAAAAGTCAAGCTGAAAAGTCTTCCCCTGTACTGTGGTGGAGGGGTGTATTTATAGAGGGCATTTTGTATGCTCTTAGTACTTATTTCCGATGTGGGACTCGTGGGAGGGCCCTATGAGGTTGACACGAGTCCTTAGATATTTCGGGCGGGTGCTTCGAGGTTGATTGTGCAGAATCGGTAGGGGGTACCGATTGTAGACGAGATGGGCCTGCAGCAGCCGTTGGTAGCTTTCAGACAATGCCATCGGTAGCCGATGCCGATTGTTCGATGCCTTGGGTACTTGGGTGGGTTTAGATGATCCACGTGTCGTTGTATGAGTGGAGGGTCAGATATGGTACAAACACCATGGATGATAAATTTTTGTGCAACGGGCTCATAGCAATCACTTCCAACAAGGTCTTTCATTAGGATGCAGTAGGTATTAGGCCAAGTTATCAATAAGTAGTAAATTTCGAAATTATCGTAGTCGTCGTATTTGCCAGCAGCAGTGGCAGTTGCCTTGGAGAGCACGATGAAACCAAGGAAAATGATGTGCGTCATACTTGGGCTGGGTTAGGGGGCAAGAATCACCATTAAACTTTCAATGCTTTGCACCCATCACACTAGTTGTTTCATGAAGAGCATCAATTATCCATCATGAAAAAGGGACATAATGAATTAAAGGGGACAATAGAGATTCGAGAAATGGCCTAATAGTAATGGATAATGCTCTAAACTACCCTAAACCCTATATATATATTGAGTATAGCCGGTTGGCTGTACTATTGATTTTTAAAAAAACCCTCGTACAGCCGCCCGGCTATACTATTTTTTTTCAAACATATAAAACCATAACCGCTACAACAACAAAAACCTTCCTACCATGGGCACTCTGCTTGGCCTCCTTGCGTGACTAAAGTTCTGACCAGCGTAAAAACCAAAGAAAAGCATATTCTTAGAGCTTTAATGTTCTCGTCACCACACCACCAAACTTTAGTGCTCATTGCTTGCTTGGGCTAATCAGCTACAGTAGGAGTTTTACCAGCTTCATCCGCATCTCCACCATCACATTTCTACAATCGCAGAGGCAAGTTATAAAAGTATTATTACAACATAGAACTTGGAAAGCACAATTCGGTATTACCTCCACCTTTATTGTAGGTGGCATCGCAGGAAGAGAAATTTTGTGATATACATTTTGTGTCCTTTTACAGCCCAAAAACATATCCTCAATCCTCATGTTACAATCCCGAAACATTCTGTTTGTACCATATCTGACCCTCCACTCATACAACGACACGTGGATCATCTAAACCCACCCAAGTACCCAAGGCATCGAACAATCGGCATCGGCTACCGATGGCATTGTCTGAAAGCTACCAACGGCTGCTGCAGGCCCATCTCGTCTACAATCGGTACCCCCTACCGATTCTGCACAATCAACCTCGAAGCACCCGCCCGAAATATCTAAGGACTCGTGTCAACCTCATAGGGCCCTCCCACGAGTCCCACATCGGAAATAAGTACTAAGAGCATACAAAATGCCCTCTATAAATACACCCCTCCACCACAGTACAGGGGAAGACTTTTCAGCTTGACTTTTATACTTTTATATGGTCAACAGCAAGAGCTCTTAAAAACAATCTTACTTGAGCATCGGAGGGTCTTAGGCTGGTTCCACACCGGTTCCATAGACCTCACGAGCTTCGCTTATCTTCTATTCAGGATCAGCATCCAAGGACAGGAAGAATCGGCATCCAACATCCAATCGATCTCTTGATCGTCCATCCCACTTGTAAG